TCCCCACCCTGGGAAGTGCTTAAAAGGTAGAGAAAGTAAAATGTGCATCCCAGTTCACATAAATGAATACTCTATCCAGAACAGCAAAAACAGGGGAAATTTGATTGTTAGACCAAGTAAACACTCTATTAGAGATAGAAATCTCCATCAGGGCCCATCTGTTGATCCAATCATTAAATAGAAATAGAGTTTGTTGATTAATAAAACCACTACTTTTTCAGTTTCATTCCTAACCAGATTAAAGTCTCCACAAATCACAATAGGGTAAGAAGCATTGGTTAAAGTATCATGTAATTCAGCCACAAAATTCATTTTAAATTCAGGATATGCAGACCCATACACTAACACCAACTGCCAAACAAAGCCATCAAGCTTATTCTTAACAGTAGCAACAACAAAAAAATCTTTGGTTAATAAAACCAACCACCTCAAAAATATTTTTCTTAAATCCTAAAAGGATCCCCCCAGCAGTATTATCAGCTGGCAAGAAATGCCACACAAAATTGTCATATCTATTAATAGCTTTGAGGAAACCCTCAGAAATAACTTCTTTTTTAGTTTCTTGAAATCCAATAAAGTCGGGATCAGATTTAGCAATAGTATCACATAGGCACTGAATCTTCCCATGTTGTCCAAGACCCCTAATATTCCAAACAAGACCTATCATATTAATCAATTTTAAAAGGGTGAGATAAGCCACAAGGCTTAGCTTTAATTAGAACAGTGGGTGTTTTCCTAGCAGCAACAGCAGTGCCAACTGGCTCCATGGAAAAATCACCTCCAGGTGTACTAACTAACTCATTAATATCAATGTCAAGATTATCGGGAAGAACTAATTCAGGAATTTTGCTGGCAAAAACCAGACATCTCTCTTTCTTCACAGCTATCATCTCAGCAATGGTGAGGTTCTTTTGAGTCTCATCTCCACCAACAGTTAAATTCATTTGACTCATTTGATCAACAAGAATAGACTTATCAACGGTGGAAAAGGATTTACCTTTAAATGTTTGTGGCATCTCCAAGTTTTTCCTCCTCTTGTATGCAGCAGCTTTCTCCATGATGTTAACATTTCCATGCCCTCTGGTAGCAGGCTTCTGAGCTAGCACAGGTCCCCATTTTGGTTTATTCTCATGAATGGCTCCATCTTTCTGGGCTTGGTTAAGTGATTCCAACAGAGATCTCTTCCAAGTCTCACTTTGTAAGATATGAATGGCCTCGAGGGGGAGAACCCCCAGCTCCTCTTCTTGTGCCTCCTTATTTTCAGAATCAGATAAATCCACTGACCTCAGCAGGTCCTCACAGTATTCCATACTACTAGCACTCTTCTCAAATATCATAGGTGTGTCATTCTTACCAGAAGGAGAAGGAGCTTTTTGAATCACAATTTTTGCCTCCTCTTTCTCCTCCCCAATATTAGTTTTGCATTGTTCTGGAAGATTACTAACACAGCCAGTCCTAATATCATGTCCATCAGAAGATGTACCACCAAGATCAACATTAGCCATAGCACATTTTATAATGAAATCCTCCTGATCAGCATCATGGTCATGCTCCATAGGTGCAACCACCAAACTTTGAGCAACATGCTTGTTGGAAGATCCATGTTTGGTTGAGAAGTTAGCTTTATCTAATTCAACAATAGCCAGACCACCATCACTTGACCCATCAGATGCATGTTCTCCATGGGTCCCACTGCCTTTTTCAGCTTGCTCTTCCTCAGCTCTCTCATCTTCCTCATTACCTTCCTCATCATCATCCACATCAATGACAGAGTCAACTCCACCTGCCTGTTCAAAGCCTTCTACAGTAAAGCCAAGCAGGAATAATTTTTTCTTCATCTCAATCAGCCTCTCAAAAGGAATCCTAGTGGGATCTTTGCAGGCAATTTTAATCCTAACATTCTCAAAAAAAGTCCTAAACATACCATTCCAATCCACATATGTAAGCACCCCAAATAGTGAAGCAATTTGAGCAAAAACTTTCCAAGTACACCATTTTCGGGGGATACCCTCAATCAGCACCCAGGCTTCAACCAGCTGCCCAAAAGGCTCACATCCTCCTTTCCATTTAGTCAAGGTAACATTCACATCCTGTGGCAGAGAAAACCTAGGCAGCTCAATGAGGTCTTCCACTTTCTTCCATGGGGGAAATCTGACCAAAAAGGTCTTGCTGGAGAGCCCTATGATCTGCCATGGCCAATGATTGGTCTTATAGAAAGTAGCAGATAGCAATTCCATCAGTTTAGAGCAATCCACCTCTCCCTTTAAGATATTCACCACAGCACAGTTCTGAAAATTCAACCACTTCAACTCATTAGCAACAGGCACATCCACATGGTAGAAACCAAGACCTTGAGCTCCACTGCCAAAGAAGGAATCAGTAGGTTGCACTTTAGACCACGTTGCACAGTTGTTGACATTGTGGTTTTGCTGACAGATAAAACAAGCTTTTGGCTTCACGCAGTTCCCAACATAATGCCCAGGCCCTCCACAGTTGAAGCAAATCATATCCTTGTACCTAGGATCAAGGATTTTTTCCACTTCAACCTCTGCAGATTGAGAAGATTGCACTTGGGCTGGGCCAACAGTCGAGGCTATGGATCTGGTTGGCTTGGGGGCCGAGGCTTGCTCCTTCGCTGACGGCGCAGATGGCTGCTTCCGCCCAGCGAAAGAGGTAGATTTCTTTCCCACCACCTTAGACTGACCAGCAGCAAGATTGCTGCTCCCTCCTGCACGACGATCGGCCATCTTCAACCCATGCATCACGATCTCCGCAAAAGAGAGTGAACCAGGACCAATTCCTTCACAAGCAACCTTGATTTGTTTTGGCGGGGGATTAAATGGTCGAATTGATGCAGGAAAACAATCAGTGGTCGAAAAGGAGTTGCTCTCGACTAGGTCTCTTCGGATCCAACAAAGGAACCCGGATTTAGGGTTGGTCTGAGGCCGCGGGGTAGGATTTTTGGGAGCGGCAGCGAGGGGGGGGAGGGAAGGGATAAGCCAGAGCTGGCCAAAGTGATCCTCCATGTTTTCTAGGGTATCAACTTTACGTAACCGCTTCGCCCTATCCGTTTTCTCCCCCAGCACACGCAATTTGAGTGTGGGTCCAGTCAACGCTGGATTTGAAGGGGAGGAACGACAAGGAGTCGTCTCCCCCAACTTGGGGCTTGAACTTGAAACATGACCGAGCCCCTCGTCGGAAACCAACTCTGACGAGGTCTAACCGGCTGTAGAAACAGCAGCACAATCCTTACCGCTTATAGGAAACATGAGGGAGAACCCCCAATTCAACTACCAAATCCTTGCCTAGAGAATGAATATTCGAACCAACTCGATCTACCATCCCCAATCGGCACAAACAAAAATCCCGCAATCGAGCTTTGAGAGATAAATCAGCACGAATGTAGTGCATACCTAACTCACCAGGCCACGGCGGGGGATCGATGGGTCGTCGCTGAGCTTGAACCGGTCGGGGTAGCCTATCTACTGATGGAGTTGGGGCCAGGCGATCCCCGGCAGGAGGAACTCCGGCGGGATGTTGGCGATGCCCTCCCACGACGGCGGCCGGATGTTGAGCCTCGAGGGATTCGCCGTCCTGAAGTTCTCCCACCCCGCCGCCTGACGCGAATCCGATGATTCGGCCTCCTAGATGGCCCAGAAGACGAGCTCCAGATCCCCACAGCCGTCGTCTCTGATGAAGCCCGCGCGCTCGACTAAGTTCGCGTGGCGGAGGATGTGGAGGTGGATCTCCCCCCACTCGCCTCGGTCAGGGAAGCGCTCCAGCACCACCCGGCGCATCTCGCGGCGAGCCTCCGGCGAGTTCGGGTCGATCTCTGGTAGCGGCCCCGTCGCTGGAGGTGGGAGCGCTCGCGGTTCCGCTACCCTTGACATCGGCTCGGGTCGATCTCTGGTAGCGGCCCCGTCGCTGGAGGTGGGAGTGCTCGCGGTTCCGCTACCCTTGACATCGGCGCAAGCCGACGCACCCGAACGCCGCGACGACGCGCACCCACCAAGCGAGATCTCAGGTGAGGGGATAAGCTCGTATTAATGGCGCCTCATGCGCATCGCCCGAGGGGAAGAGAGAGGGGGAGGGGAGGGGAGACAGCATCGTCGAAGAGTTGACACAATGTTGCTAACCTATCACTAAAGCATTCCAGTATCGGCAATGAAGATGATAATCCTTGTTAGCCAAGGAAGAAAAGGTGCACAAATCTCAGAAGGAAAAAGTAGAAAAGATGAGCACGGACAGTGATCTGGAGAAACTCTCCCCTTCTACGTAGAACCGAAGCTCATGCCTAGAATGCTACTGAACGTCGACATCCCTGTTAACTGTTAAGCCAAGGAAGAAAAAGAGCACGGGCAATGGTCCATGGGCGACGGCCAATCAGTTGGGCGCTGGTCCCTTCCGGCGCCGGCACCCCATCTGGGGCACTCCTCCATGGCGCCCATGGCTCACATGCCCCCAGTTTTGTCTCATTGGGCTACAGGAAGCATCCGGAGCAAAGGACCTGTCTTGTGCTGTTACTGTCAACTCAGCTGCTGCAACCCTCACTTATAGGAGACTCTTTTCCTTCCTGTCAACCTCATGCTGCAGCTTGCACCATCAGGGTTGCAGTTTAGGGCTCAATCATGAGCATCACCATTATAAACTGTATGTACAATCAGTGGCTCTTGCATCCCAGGGACAGATGCCCCTTCCAGAAGAAGGCAGACAGACAGACAGATGATACATGAACCTTGAAAGCAGACCAGGCAGCAGCAGCAGGGTGAAGAACTTCATTTCTAGCTGAAGATCACACGACGAACTTACTGCGGCGCGGCGAACAGGCTGGGTCCCAATATAGATTTACCATAAATAGATTAGTCGGTGCTAGATACACATCAACACATAACTCATAACGAGAAGAAGACTAGGGATATCTACAGCACACCGCATTACTTATTTCAAGTGTTATTACTCCTGACTGAGAAAAAGAATCGCCGCGGCGGTGCTACTATTCTCTACACAAGGCTCCTCATCTTACGCTTCAGCCACATGGTCCGGATATCTACACTCAGCGACAGGAAAATCTCCCGGTTGCTTGGATCCAAGAAGACGTCCGGGGCGAGCGACTTGTCCACCGGCGAGAGGTCCGCCATGCCGTTCATCACCTCAATGCACCGCGGGATGCTGAACCTGTTGTCAGCAGGGCTCTCTCGCTGTTTACTGTTGTTGTTGTCTCTCTGATGATGAAACTTGGGGTCTGCGTGTCCTTCCATAGCATCGGATGTTCCGTCCTCGCTGGGCCTCCTCATGTAGCGCCATTGTTCTCCCCGTGCTTCCTCGGCAGGCCTCCTCGAGAGCTGCCATGTCTCTGGACGCACCTGGGTCAGCGGTTTCGGGTACAGGTGCCCATTCACAGTGTGAACTTCAACGCCCACTAGAGTCTCCTGTTGGAATGAAGACTCTCGGGATACTGGAGACGGGGGGATAGGGGACAGTGGACGATTCATGTAATAATCATCTTCATCGTCGTCGTCATCATCACTTGAGATAACTTCCGTTCCATTCCTTTCAATCGGAGTGGGTCCGGGTGTGGGTGTGGCAAGAATACTTTTACCATCCAAAATGACACCAACTGCAGAACACAAACAAACAAAAGTTTTATTTTCGATACAGATTGAAAACCATAACCATAATTGAGATGAAGTTAGCTTCTCCAATTAAGGGGTAGCAAGCAAATCAACAGAACAAATAAATCCACAATATTATGTCAAACATCTTTGTAAAAAGAAAAGGTACCGCAATAGAATTCATCAAGCGAATTCCAACATATCCTAACCTAATATATGCAGAATAAAAAGCTATTCTGGAGGCTCTGAACCAGCATGCATTCCAGAGTTAGTATATGTGGTAAAAAGCTGAGGTCATCTATGGTACCAAAACATTGATAATGTACCGTAACACCATATAGCCAGTTGTAAACACTGCCAAATGATTAAGCAGGAACATAATATAAATAATACTCCCTCCGTCCGGAAATACTTGTCTTCAAAATGAATAAAAGAGGATGTATCTAGATGTATTTTAGTTCTGGATACATCCCTTTTTGTCCATTTTGATGACAAGTATTTTCAGACGGAGGGAGTAGACCATTCTCCTATAAACTAAACCATCTTTTTTTTTTACATTTAAGTACCGAGTTAGCTTATCTTCACTACTAATAAATTAACAGGGAGTAATTTACCTTATTGTGCAGTGTATATAGTTCAAAATGTGTACCATATAGATGGAGTACAACCTATTGAATTTAGAGCATAGCTAATACTATTTTGTGTGTGTAGACCGATGGTTTGCCTAACTGTGGTGATTTTTTAATCAATCTTAAATATAAAACAAATATGTTCTCATAGACACAAAAACACATAATAATAATTAGTTGAATTTTGAAAACACGTTCATATTGTGACTACCCATTCATGAATTAGCAGTTACCCATCCACCCAATAAGCACATATCTTTTTTTCTTTTTGAGGAATTCATATCATTGTACACATCACTGACTTTAACATCTTGCAATCTAGTACGTAGTTCACTAGTTCCAAGAGTTGGCACCAGATTTATGTTACCTTTTTTCCCATATGGGTTTTTACAATCATCGCATTTACAGTTGATGGAGCATCCTGCCCCTCCCTTCAAAGACAGAAGAAAAAAAATACCAGTCACAAGCTGAGAGAAGAGAAAAACTAATAGGATAGAGTTGCCTTTAAAAAAAAATAGGATAGAGTTGGATACGGGACCTGGTAGCAGTCACAGTATTTCTTAAGGCAGCCTGACTTTTTGCAAGTGCATTTTCTTCTAAAAAAGTCCATTTGGTATCTTGCAAATTCCTTGAGAGAATAAAAAAAAGTAGCAGGATCGTCAAAAATAGAACAAGGAAATAGTTGGACATTTACCATGTCATGTTTGAACAAGATTTATACCGTTGAATTTTGACCAGCCTCTGCTGGTCGAACAACTTGCAAAGGCAAGCCTGGTGGTGTATTCTGTTGAACACCATGAATAGGCTTGTTATAACATGGGTCACAGCCACATAATTCAGAACATTGTGACCCAGAAGCAAAACACACACAATAACTGCCACAGTATAAAGCAATTGATCAGTACAACAAGAAGGAACTTGAATTTAGCAGTAAGAAATCATAAATCATGTTGTGTATAATGCATGAGCGTGGTTAGATAGGTATGGTATATGTTTGTGTGTGCAGGGTGGGTGCATCAGTGCGTGCGAAAATTAGCATTCCCCATCTTTTCCATGC